TAAATTGTGTTGTACAAAGTATTTTGATTGAAATTTTCAAGTGTCAATCACCTTAAAAAGTATATTTTAAACTCAAATAAGTATTATTCTTGCAGTTTGTTTTCAAACATAGTGCGCCCTCTGGTGGAAATAATAGCAATGTCTAATATATATTTAGAATAATAGACATTTCTTGCATTTGTGCGGTATGTTTAAAATGTTTTTTTTTTTCAATTTAGTTGTCTGTAGTCTCACAAATTGTACTATATGTATAAACAGTCAATTGACCAGATTAGTACAGGTATAGTATCAAACATAAACATGGCATATTCATATTTCCTTCTGTAAATTACTGGTGACCCTTAATTGTCTCGTTCTTCTATTTCAATGTGAAACATCTTGAACCTTTACAAACCAATAAATCTCTGAGAAGTCAAGGTTTCTCAGAAATCAAGTGCAAGCTTTGTAATGCACTGAAAGACCTGGACATGCTTTTGGCATTAAATTGATTAATTTAAAGATGTTGAAAGGGGAGGTATTTAGATTGCCTCAGGCTTTTAAAGCAATACATTACGCCAATTCCAGAATCATGAAATTCTGCAGAGTAACCTTGGAATAAAGGGCTAGTACAGATTAAAAGTCATGCAGAAGGAAAACTACATAATCCTTTACTATTATTCTACTAGTTGTAACAGTCCAAGGTCATGTTGCGTAGCAAGTGAGTCTATTGGGACAAGGATTGTAATCAATTCTTACATTTAAAAGCAGACTGACCCGAATTGCCTGCTCATGGGAAGATAGATGAATGTATATTGTTACAAACATGAAGATCTATAATATCTGTAGTCAAGGAAAAATGTTTGTATTAATGGGTTTTAACATGATTATTTAAATAGAGTGATACCTTTGAGTATTACATTTTATAGCAGTAATGTTGGTATGCAAGTGCTGACACCACCAGGGAAGGTATTGCTTTCTCTTTTTAGTGTTCTAACACTAAACACTTAATCATAAAGGCAATTCCAGATACAAAGAAAGAACAAGGACTGTATACAGTAAAGCTTTTATTGATAAAATTAATTTAATTAAATAAAATTAATGTTGATACTTTGAGGACAACTTGGAAAACTTGAAACTTTGAAAAGGTTCATTTATAAATAACCTGAGGAGGAGTTGCTCTGATACCTTGACTATGAAAATAATCTTAGGCAGTTTAGGCTCCCATAAGGTTCCTGTAACTGTGAAAGCTATAGAATTAATCTTCCAAGGTTAGTGTAAGAAAGTATCTGTTCAAATACAGGTTTTAAGCATTGATGAACAGAATATTCATTTTTTGTTTCATGTTTTGAGTATTAAGCATCCTTAGCTAAAAAAACTGATTTATTGTCATGGTTAAATACTGTACCTCTGCATTGTAGCTGTACAGCTACTGCTTCACCTCCAGTGTATCACAATGTGTTTAAATACAGTACCACATATACAGTACAGCAGTCCATATGTAAGCATATCTAATGATCTCATCAAAAACTGGTTCTCTCAGTCATATTTTAAAGTTGGCAAGGGCAAAAATGTTTAGATTATGTATGTAGAACATATGTGTTTGTATGTGTTGGATTAGAATAAATTATTATAAAATAAAATCAGATTATCCTATAAAATAGAAGCTGAGAAACTAGAGTAGAATGCCAAAGAAATAGGGTCTGTTTCATATAATTTAAAGTGGGACATCAGACAGTTTCTATATTCTGTTTTGAACAGATTAGTTATAATCTAAGGTGAAGATATAATATTTTATATACTACATATCATGCTTATGTATTAATCTGAAGTCTAAGTAAAATCTGATGGTTACTTTTTTAGGAAGCTTTCCTTCAAATGTCATCTTTCCCAAGAGCTGCTTGGTTTTGCCTATAAGAAACATCATTTAAGTATCACTGGTATGTATTGTACTTTATAATGGCATTTTGTCTTTTGCAAAATATTTCAGATCCCACCTGGTATCTCATTTTACAAAATTACAAAATGATGCAGATTTTTTAAATATAATTTGTATTCATTTATTCTGAATGAGAATCCTACTTCTCAGGGTAGGATACATCGCAGTAAATGTCAGCTAAATATAAAGAGAAAAAAGCTTAAAATATGTTGATTGTTTAAGTGTTCTGACCCAAAATTACATTATGGTAGAAATTACAGCTGCCCCTCTTTTTGAGTAATTCTGCACATCGGTTTGGTACAATTCTTGTATATGCTTTTACTAAAACTATCAAGTTGTTTCAAGAAGGACAGTAGTTTTTAAGCCTTTCCACAGAATCACTTATATACAGTACATTTAATTTAAATGTAAGCAGAAAAAATAGAGACATCCATTGCTAGCTAGATCAATTCAGTTGACTTACCCTCCCTGAGAAAAGATTATGATTTGTTGTGTATGTCACTTCATATGATCCATTACTGCAGTCTTTTGGCAATCATGCGTACTGTATTTAGCAGACCTTATTATAATCTTAAGCTCTTTTGAGCTATGCAGTTCACCAAAGAATAGAGCAAACTATCAGTCAAATACCTAAGTTCCATAAAACCTACTTCAAAATATGTCCTATTTATTCACTCTGTACAAAGTGTTTCACAATATTAAACTCCCACTTTATTTCCTGGAAACATTTCATTAACTTGAATGGAATGGTATAGGTAATTGTAGAATTCTGAATCTATCATCTCAAATAAATTTACCAAAAATAAGCAATACTATTTGTAGTTTTGGAATATACAATTCCAGTAAAATGAATAAAGCGAAATAAGGCCAGATGGGGCAGGAACATTTAACAGTTTCTCTTTCAGACTTTAGTTGATGGATGGATACCTACTATAAAGTCTTGGCATAATTTTCCAGTATTAGGCACTTGATGTTTAGAATTAAACTTAGGGGATATTATTTCTTACATGATGGTGCTAAACTATAAATTCTAGTTCCTTGTTGTTGTTTTTTATTTTCTTGTCTTCTTTTATTTTATAGAACACACTTGTCATCTGTCAAATACAGAATATATTTAAATCTATTGAACTCCTTAACATTCAAAAATACCCCAGAGACCATTAAAGTGCATTTAGTGTAACACAAATCATCATGAAGATTGAGGTAGAGACAAGAGGTTAACGGTACCAATCAGGTTTACAAAGTTTGAAGGTTTTTGGAGCCAGTGTTTCTAGAGAATCTGTGGCACGCAAAAACCCAATTCTGTCAAACAAATTTTCCACAGACTTGTAAATCACCCTCTAATCATAACATAAAGGCAGACAGAGCAGCTGTCTCTTGCTTTGATATGATAATCTAAAGATCTACCCTAGTGAAAACTACTATCAAAAGTGCTGCAGTTGAGGTATATTTACAATTGAAGACAGGGGAAATTGTACTTGGCAGTTACTTTTCTCTAGTCATGTAGCATGTATGTCATTATTGATCCTCTTCTAAAAAGTACCTCAGCTGAAACTGCTGCTGTAGAGCATTCAAGGTCTGTGCACTGAACAAACTAGTGAAAACACTGAACTGAGTTCAGAACATTGTTCTCTTTTTAATACATATACAGTTTTAAGATACTGTTAAGTTTTCTACAAATGGCTACAGCTTTGTAAAAAACACTGACTAAACTGTGATACAACAGAGTATGTAGAGCTCTGACAGCTCTTGAAAAAAGGTAATTTGTGGCAGATTCACATGTTCAAATTCATATGTAATGAGCACTCCAAAGACTATTGTCTTGTTGCTCATATGTAAATGGATAGAAATGTTAGTTCTGGAGAGGGTGACCTCCAATTTGTCAGAGTTGCAGAATCAGCTGCATGCCATTGTAACCATTTTATGAAAATTACACAAAATAGCTCAATCGGTAAACGTACACTATGATGCCGGGATTGAGCTCAGATCATGTCAGTAGCAGACTGTGAAGGAAGGGATTCCCCAAGCAGCAAAGCATGACTGGTTGAGGAGTAGGGTGGGATTAGTTAGCCAGGGCTCTCTCGACTCTCAGCGGCACAGTGATCCCTGCAGCCTCTCAGGTGCTTGCAGGCATGCTTGTGTTGCCATTAGTGAGATCCAAGTTTCTTCACCAATCAGTACTAAACCTCCAGCTATGTTGTCTGGGACAAATGAAAAGATAAGATGCTCAGAGGTTGATGGGTTAGAGGAAAGTGTCTACATTCCTCATTCGTCCTGGGAGCTGAGGAGTAAAAAAATATTATATTGAGTGTGGGTCTCAAAATCTAGGCATGTTTAACTTTTTTCCCTTTAGTCTTTGCAGATGTTTACTGTAACATTTACCCTTAAAAGTCTTAATTCAATCACCCACGTTTTGAATAAAATATTAAGTTAAAAGAGGTACTGTATATGCATCATTTTGCAGTTTCGCAGAATGGGACATGATAAGAAGGGTCTGAATATGTTTGCAAGGCTTTGTTATTTATATTTTGTAACTGAAGAATTTTGTAATTGATGACTGTATGTATTTCTGGTTTGTGTAAGTTGTTGTGATAACAGAAAAAGACTAAAGTGGCGAATTAAAAAAAAGGTAAGTTTTACATGTCTAAGAACATATGAATAATTCAAGGCTTTAAGATTTTTAGTATGTTTTAGACATTTTATAATTTGTTAAATTCTATGAGCTGCAGCACATGAACGTTATTAAAAAAATGATTTTAAAAGTTACACACCTCAATATCAGTAGGGAGAGTCAAGTGTGTATATAGATGATGTACAGGGGACACAGAGGCAATAAAAATAGAGCTACTCGACATTCAGTGATCATATTATGAAAGCTGATCCTCCTAGTTAATGCAAAGCAATTATAAATGGCACTGCATGCATGACATGAGATATAAATTGCACAAAACATTAAGAACAAAATCATAGGAACATCACAGGACACAATTACTTTACTTCTCCAGCCCCCACTATAAACCCAAGAAAGTCTTTGGAAATACATTTCTATTTATAATTGAGTATGTCAGTAATGCTTCTCTAGGGGTAAATTTAAGCTTTTATTAAGTACAAAGAGAGCTTCTATATCAGGCAGTGCACATATTGAATAAAGCAAGAAAAACAGATTACAACACATTATCAGTCACCTCAAGCAAGGCACAGGAAATAGAGCAAGACTGAATGATGTGAGAAATGTTGAAATATTATTTTATTATAAAACTTTAAAAATATTTAAATATTATACTTATATTGTGCTATTTTACATTATTAGGACACTATTACCCATGAAATATGGTACTGCATGTACACCCCCCCACAGGCAATTAATCCTCAAAGAGCCTTTGAACACATTAATAAATTATTGTTTTTTTCTCTCTTTACAATCACAAGGGGATAAAAAACAATATACAACACACAATTATCTCACAATGACAAAGTCTACAAAACAAGGGGAAAAAATCCAAGATTGAGCAGATCGTCTGCTTTCAATTCTTGTTCCCCCTTGGAAAAAATGAAGATTAATTTGGCTGAAGAAAGAGATACTACTGTTTTTAACTACTTGTTGTAAGACTGTAGTGCTGTGCTGGCTCATATTCTTTTACATTGTGATCTTTATAGCAACCCAAGCCCAGCTCACCAGTAAATGAAGCTGTGGTATTGGGTGGAATAGAAGGTACAGTATATGGCCATTAAGGAGACCCCAGAAAATTACAGTTGGATACAGTTGCTGGTTTGGAATGTCCTTGGAGTCTGCTTTTTCCTATCTCACTCCCTCTCCAAATTTGTGTGGGTTGAAAAAAATCTAACATTCAAAACTAGGCAAAGCTTGAGCCCTGATTTCTTTCTTAGTGAAATTAGAAATTCCTCCTGAGTTGGTTTATACTGTACCTTTTGTGCAGGTGTGGTAAGGTTGTAACTCAAGTAGCATCTATCCTTTTGCTAGGGAATCTAGGGTTGTGCAGAACAAATGGATGGTATTCCAAAAGCTGAACACAAACGATAAATTGAGGGTGTTCTAGGTCCCAGGTTATGATGGATGGTTGTGTTGCTTTATGTACCTGAACTTAATGTTTATCATAATAATCCAGTCAGCCAGAACATGTATCAGCACTAAAAAATGTATCGGTGAATTATTGCAGGAAAAAAGACAAAGTGGAACTGCACTACACGAATACCACTTCTCTTTCATTCTATCATATTGTGTATTTGTATTTAAATGCATACATTTTTTTCTTCAAAATGTTTTGTAATACCACTTGCTATTAACAAATCAAGCACCAGCAATGAATTAAGTGGAAATAAATCCACTTCTGCTTTGTAAACAATCAATTTTGAAAAATTGAATTAAGGTAACAATTTGTTGAAAAACGTCTATGTAAAAAACACACAAGTTAAAAACACACAAGTATTCCAAGAGATACTATTTGGTATCTAATGTGAAATGGTACACCAAGTATTTACATGCAAAATGTCATAAAGAAAAATGGTTGACTGGATTATAAACATGTACAGTATTATTGTCTCTTTAAAGTTGTCAGAATGGCTTTAAACCAATATTTCCCCTGTTAAGTTGTAATTCACACCACAGTGTATTTACATTATACGAGGGATATACTCTACCATACATCATTTCCAGGTCTGAAAATCAGGTGACTAATGATGTTTAATCTAAAATTAAGGAAGAAAATTGTTTGGCATTTTACATTTAAGACTACATCCCATTGGGAAACATAATTTTTATGTGGTTCCTACTTTGCAGTCATCAAGTACTTCAGGACAAACTACTGTATGTGCTTCAGTTTATTCTGAACTGTGTTCCCAAATCTAATTTGGACCTTCAAATGTCCTCCACAACTCTCCTTCTTTATACGGGTGCTTTCTTTTTTCCCATAATTCCACAGTAAATAAAAATTGGACTTGGAAACAGTACTGTTTGTAACAGTACTGTAAATCACAAACACAAAGCTACCGCTGTTTTCTGGAACATGACTTGCAGCACTGCTGTCCATAGAACTTGTGATTGCAGACTCCATGCTGGGGTACCAAATGACACCAGCTGAAGAAGTCCACACAAGTCAAATCATCTGAGAAAACAAAAAAAAAAGGTTTTAGATGTTTCTTAAAATCTTTTTATGTTATTTAAAGCAGTTATGTTTTTATTTAAACTAAATTCGAATAACTGTGTCAGCAGTTACCCACAGTTGTGCTCACAGTAACCCATCTGTTTTAGACAAAAAAACATTTTTAGGCTTTCCTTTAGAAAACCGCATCCCGTTTTGAAGCTGTTACCTAAAGTTGTTATATGTCATTTTAAAATCAGCAGACATTTAAAAGGAAATCAATTCCTGTATACATAAGAACCCTATTTTCAATAAAGCCCCTACCTTTGTGGGCAGGTGCAGGGCAGAAATGCGTGTTGCAAGCCCTGGAGGTGATGGGTCTTTGATGGGGCAGACAACCCGCTGCTGGTCTTCCTTGTCGGAGACACTGGATACTACGTGTCTGCACCCCCCCTCCACAGGAGACTGAACACTGTGTATGAGCACAGATGGTTCAGACTTAATACTACCACAACATACGCCAGCAGCATGCGATTCACTTCTCACAGACATACTGAGGTCTTTTGGCACGGACATTTACAAGAGGCAAGCTTAAAAATATGAAAAAAGTCTCAGTGGACTCCAGATAGCAGCTTAATGTCATACCTGTTGCCAAGGGGAAGAATACCATCCTGACACCACAGCACCAGCAATTCCCCCAGAATGAGGTCTTGGCTCTGGGCAGGTGCCTTTGTTACAGGCTTGCTGCAGCTCCACAATGGGTTTCTTTAAATTCCGACATCTTCTTTGAGGGAATACAGTGTATGTACCTTGAAGGTCTTTTTCACTGCACCTCAGTTCTCTGTTCTGTATACCTAATCCACATGACGCAGAGCACTGATATAAATGAAAGCAGGACATCAAAGTGTTATTTATGATACTTGTAACATAAAACCCTATTTTCATTGAAGCAAAAACCACTGTAGCTCACATTAGGATTGCTTGGGTAAAAAAAAATCCTAACTTGTTCTCCGAAATAGCAATTTCAACTCTAGGCTAGTTCTTCAGCATAAATTAACATTTAAGTCTTTAACTTAAAATTTGTTGGAATACAATTTCAGATCTGATCATTTAAAACTTCCACAGCTAGTTTTTATTTTTTCTGTTATTTTTCAGTATTTAACTTGATGATTTGGGGGTGTCTATCATTTTTGTGGCAGTACCTCGCTCCATGGTGATGTCACCCACTGTAGCCTGTCATTCTTGGGGCACCTCCTCAGAACACAAGTCTCCTGGGACTTTGGCTTTTCATGTAGCTTACACATGGTGTCTGGCAGGATGAGAGGTTTGGCTGATGGATCTGTGCTCCTGCAGTAAACGTTGCGCTTCTTAAGTCCTCTCCCGCAGGTCTTGGAACACTATAAAAACACAGACCCAGTTCCCCTCAACTCTTTTTGAACTAAGAGTGCCTTGTAAATTAAAAACACAAGAGAAAAACATATAGCTGGGCAATCTTTTTGTCAGTATTGACTGACATTTACTTTTGAAACAATTTTTTTCCAACAAGCAGGACTTTTTTGGCAAAATGCAATACTTTTTTATTCTCAATTGCTACACCTGGTATAGATCTGCATTTCTTAGAAACTTCGATGCGACACATTTTTTAATGAACTCCTGGAAATGGAATGTGTCAGAATTACAGATTTACCCATTTTTCCACTATTTTTTTTTTTCATTTCTGGCCTTCTCTCATATAAGGGAGGACAGGGCACAGTTCCTTTTCCAGCTGTTCCTTTCAGCGATTAATAGTATAAGACAATTTTGTTTTCTGTTTTAGCATTGTATTTGCTTTCTACGGAATTTGCAGTTGCTGAGGATGTGTGTGAAGATGTGCCTGTAAATTGGGAAAAATGCACAATGAAAAAAGATCTGAAAAACAAGTATAGGAAGGAAGGCAGACACTGTAGGTAGGCAGGCATGTACAGTAGGGTTTTAGACATAAGTTTTACACAGAAAGGTAAAAGCTCAGATTTCCCAGAACATTAGTAAATATTTACTGCAAAGATATTTGTTTTCAGTTTCATGAACTGGTGCTGGTGATACTTAAAATGACTAATTAAAAACATGTTGCTTAGAAAGAATTTCAGCCACACACTGTATAGTACAGTATGTCATGCTCTTTCATATCACTTTTTTTTCTCACACTAATACAGCTGCCATTGGCTGGACATTCAAGTATTTAAAGCCAACTGTTAAGTCATGTTTTTTTGAGAGCATATGTCTTTGGCTGCTGACAGATGAACCTTATAAACTATCCAAATGGAGATCCCTGTCACCAGTGATGAAGATTAATAGCTCTGTCACACTGTGGAGGGCCTCACAAGACTCATATTGGGGAGTTATGGTATAAATCTAGAAAACAAAGAAGACATTTTCTAAAAATATACCATTGCTGAAACTCATACTATAAAATGAACACAATGGTAGTGTTTCCTGGAATGTAGTGTCTTCATTAGTCACTCAGCATCTGAGATCCATTACATTCCCAGAAGCTCAAGTTATAAAGTACAAGTTTTTATTTCACGCATTCATAAATTAAAGCCATTTGAAAAAAATGTTTGATTCTGAATCACAACACTGTTATGGTATTTTCTACATTCAAAATAACAGATTCTAAAACGCATATTTTCTGGGCTATAAATGCATGTGCTGTTTATGAACTGAAGTTTGATTAGTTGTTTTTCTATTTCATTTAAATACAAGTAAAAATTAAGCATGGCTGATCTTGACATTCTGCATGCATCCTCCAGATGGCAGTCCAACTGTTCTTAGGTTATGTCATCCCAGCAGTATTCAGCATGCTTGTTTTAAAAGTACTTCTACCCAATCAATATTTCTAATAGCCATAATTTAATTTATACTGTCCTACACCTACACAATTTCTGATAATGTGCTTGAACCCAGTAACGTTGAATACAAAAGGCCAATGATAAAATCAGAAATGCAGAAAAGGGAAAGAATACATAGCACAATGTCTACCTGTGTCCAGGCCCCTGTATTCCACTCGGGTTGGCAGGCCTGAGTGTTACAAGCCTGTATTTGCGCTGGGGTCTTAACAGGACATAGTGAGTGCACCACCACCTCCTCTCGTTGGAAAGTAACTTTGCGGAGACACTGGACGGGTCGAAACTGCTCTCCACCTCCACAGGTCCTGCTGCACTCACCCCAGTCCCCTGTGGACCAGCTGAATGGACATGCAATATTTCATTATGTCTCACAGGACAAAGTAAAACCACAGTGACTCACATTGGGGGCGACTGTTAATAATAGGAGATGCTAATAAATACCATACAATATGAAAGTCGTATGAATAAAATACCCTTTATAATGTATTAATAGAGTAAAAAATGGGATAATAGCCATCATGTTCTGTAGATTAATTGGTGGTACGTAAACAAATCCTAAGTGAAATATACCTGGTTATCTAATACTATAATGTGCCCAAGGGCTATAGAAACATAATTTTTGTAACTGTGCATAACATCATTACTAGCATGTCATTGGTGGAGACAAACACTAAAGTGTCATCCATTTACTCTTGATTTTCAGTTCTGTATCTGAATATCTTAAAATATAATTATCCATTTAATATTATTATCCTTTGTTGCTTCTGCCTGAATTCAAATCTTTCACAAGTTCACAAGTTATATTAAAGGTTTATGAAAGTATGGCATAAAAACAGTTACTGGGTGAATGAAAATATGCAGTAGGCATAAATTAGGCTTGCAATCTTTCATTCCACTCATGAAGCACTCTAAAAGGAAGATATAGAATCAGTTGTCATCTTTCCTCTGAAATGTCCATTATTTTAGCTCTGAACATTATTTTCAGAAGTGTTTTTTGAAATGCAGAATACAAGATTGCACAGTCCACAATCCTTTTTCTTTCACAAGTAGCATTTCTGTGAAGGCTAAAAGGTTTAGCACCCCCAATAAATACATAACCTGCCTCATTTTTGCTGGATTGAACCTAAGAAAACAGACACAACGTGTCATTTTAATAACTGTAAATATTACCTTCTACCTCTCCATGTAATGTGCTACTTCATACAATATACTAAAAGGAAATTAGTACTGTACATTACATTTATTAAACTTCTTAGCCTTCATATTTTAAAGTAACTTTTCAAAGGGGTAGCAAAGTGTGGTACACAAGCAGTGCACACACCTAAAGGACCCAGATGTCATAGGAAGATTGCACCACTTACAAATTTCAATTTTGCAGACGGCCCTTAGCATTAAAGATAGCTTTGGCATTTAGTATCTGGGAGATACATAACCTGAGATAAAAGTGGAACTAAAATAGAGTTTGTTTGGGCAGGACAATTATTTAAATCAGCATTCAGACAATAGCGTGGCAATATGTGTAGACATCAGAAACTGCACAATAAGGGTGTAACTGTGTCCCGTGGCACATTTATAAATGGATTTCTACCTCAGTCTCTTGCTGTCATTTTCAGGACTGAAATATAATTGGGTATTTGGATTTCATTTTGTTCAAATCAGTTAACAAATTCAAGGGAAATGAAAAACTGTAATTTGGGGAAAACAGGATTATGTGAGCCTCACTGTATACAGCAGGATCAAATAAACCAGTACAGCTGATGTAAGCAACGCAAAGTTTATTTTTTTCTTCATGACATAAATAAAAAGATGAAATTGGAAAGGCTTCACTGCAAACCAATTTTGGTTATGCCATAATTTGTATTTCTACAATCTCTCAATAACTGGAATGAAATTTTCAAGCCACAAAAGTGAAAAGAAGAATTTAAAATAAAATGGAAACTCACGCACTTTTTTCTTTTCTCATGTTTTGCAAAGCAATGAAAAACTGAGATAAAATTAAACATCTTTCTTTAACCCCATTAAATTTTGAGCCGTGTCATTTCATGTTCGGATAACTTCAGTACCGTAATCGACAGGTTTGCAACAATTACATGTCAAATTGAACTCTTAGAATGGTAATTTATATTTTATACACAACATTTCTTGTGTACTTTCATAAGGGAAGTGACTACTATACAGATACAATGAGATTAGGTAGATTTCAAATGTAGAGCAGAACCACATGCACGGTAAAACCATTTAAACATTTGCATTTATCTTTGATGACATTTTCAAATTGCAGATACATCTAGCTTTTTCCCTGTGGTGTTTGATCTCCAATGGTCCACGATACACAGAAGCCTATTGCTCTTAAAAGCAAAAGATCACAGTGTCTGGCCAGAGCAGACCTCCAGATTCCTGGCTGGCTAGACTGATCTGGCCTCAAGGGGATTTTGATTATTTCACTATAAGAAAAACATGGATAGACCTGTCAGCATTATAGATATTTGCTGGAAAGATAAGCTTTTTTTGAGTATGTTCACTGCTTTCTTGTGTCCTTCTTGAAACTGTGGTTCAAAAGAAACAGACATTTTTAGTTAAATACCGATTTACACCAATTTGTCTCTTGAGACTACACTAAAGTTTTGTTTAGTAATGATGATTACTCTTTATTCCTACATTATAATATAGGATGGAGCACAATTCTTAATCTTTAAGGGGTACAGTGATATATTGGCTGAATGAGTTGGAAGATACAGTATGCATCATGCATTTTTAACAAATGTTTCTGAAACATCCCAGTTTAAATATATAGGGCTCAGGCTATAATATACCAGAAAAATATAGATTTAAACAAGTGTTTTGTCGTGCTATGAAAAACTGTGATAGAATGTATGTGTAATTAAAATAGCTTAGCTCTAGAATTTATTTCCTTAATTGTATATTATTAATGTGCACTTTATTATTTCAACCCATTATAAATACAATTAGATATTTTACATGAAGACATATGGAATTGATTTCCTGTTCACTTAAAAATTCTCACAAGTAACCATGGATATCCAAGCAGACACAACAAAAAGGGGTTGAAAGAGAAACGACTCCAAAGAGAAAGCTATTTGTCGGCTCTCTGTCAGTATTGTGGGTTTAGAATGTATGACGCTTACTTTTCATCTATTCAGTTGAAACTACGGTATTTGATCCTTACGGAATCAAATTAATTGCAGTCAGATCACAGCTAACCATAAATTGCTGTTACGGGTACATATTTATTTAACTTCACCAATTTAGTATTAAAAATGACTTAGCCCCATTCATCTGCATTACTTTTCCAGAAAGTCACATTAGCTTTCCTGCTATGTTTGTTTCAGGACTCCATCATTTTTTTTAAAAACTAGACCCAGCTCTCCAAACAACATTAGCAAGAAAGACCTAACAAACCATGTAAAAGCCATCACTCTTTTTCACAAAATTTCTCTGAAGGCAATGCTGCTGGAACTTCACTACTATGAAGACGCTGCCATCACAATGGGTAAGTGGTGAGACTGATTCTTCGACATTAGGGAGTTATGGTTTGAGGGCCTGCCAGCTCTCACTCATCTTAGACACTTAGGTTCACTACCATGAACATGCAGGCTGGCTGACTGATGTCTGGAAGCTATTTTAATCCTGTTTGGATAAGAAAAATGCCTGTAGCAGAGACCTGATTTATCCATTGAGTCTGTTAGGTCTCTTTGGAGAGACCTTTGCCCATGCCCAGAGCAAGATGCACATAGAAAAAACATGAAAAATTCATCCAGCATAATGGGAATGAAACAAAAGATGAATTAACATAAAAACAATTATACTCTATGCAAACCTTTAATTTCACTGGCTTCTTAGTCACTGATCCAGTTTAACAGCTTTGTTAAAAATTTTTGCCATTTGAATGACAGAATAAAATTGAAAGAACAGATCCTAGTTTCAGCAGGTTTAGCAGTGGACAAGGTTGGAAGTTGTGTAGTTGTGCATTCTCTGGAGCTTATGATTTTATAAAAGAGAATTATATCTTTCTGCTTCCTGTGGCTGAAATTAAACCAGAACGTGTAGCGGAGTAAAGAAGCATTTGGATTCTGAGGTAATATTTTCAATATAAATGTACAGTGGCTTTTTAATGTGGAAACAACTTGAGCTGTGTAATATGCTTGTATACAGTACATGTATAATGTATAATATTGATTAATGGGAAGCAGAATATGTAGTATTGTTAATGCAAAACTTCATGTAGAGAAGATAACCTCATAAACTTAACTTGCAGTAAAGTGTCTTGGTGATTTTATATATCTTAAAATCATGTTCAAAGGTTAACAATGTTTTTTTGAATATGTCATGTACTGCTTCATAATTAATATGTCCCCCATATGTGTGTGTCCCTGTGATGGGCTCGTGTCCCATGCAGTGTATATAATGCCTCATGTCCATTGTCGACTTTTGTGAGCCCCTGGGTTGTTGCAAGCCAATATTGGACTAAATCGTTATTGAAAATGGGGGATTACTGCTTCAAAAAAGAAGAAAGCTATAACTTACTGGGCTGGGCATGGATGGGTGTTGCACATAGTTGATCTAATCAAAGGTCTTGTCTGTGGATTGCAGAAAGAAGAGTTGACCTGTATGCGATGATCTTGTAAACAAATAGCTTTTGTTGAAATTCGACCTAAAAAACAAACATTATTTAAGTTTCTCCAAAATGTGTAAACATATAGTATGATGCTCATAAATATTATAAGGATAAAAAAATATTTTGACAGTGATAGAATCTTTTTCTACAACACAGAAAATGTTCTAGGAAATAATATTTATACTGTATATGCTTGTATCATAATTATCAGTAAAGGAATATGAAAAAGGACTAACCTAAGAAATTAACATACAGTAACATTTATTTTGGTCCTAGGAGCATTTTAAGAATGGTTCATTTTCATCCAGTGTGAAAATTCACTTAAAAATCTAAAAACTGAAAAGAAAGGGATGAAACAGACAGAAGATAGAAGTCTGTGTACATTTCTTTTACAGCATTACCGTTACCCAGTTAACGGAATCAATGACACATGGAAGTTTTTGATTAAGTTTCCCAAGAGGAGCATATATTGCTCTTTAAGTTTGCACAAAGGTGCTTTGAATAGCTTCAACCCTGTGGCTATATTTGTTTTTACACAAAGGATTCTTTTTTGCCATTGGGAATGTTCCTCACCTCCAGCACACGAGGCTGAGCAATCTGATCTGATGGCCACCCAGGTGTAATTGTGTTTCTTTGTGGTGGTCTCACTGTTGTTTAGGTGCTTGGGTAGAGTGTATTCCCAAGTGATGCCAGGATTTTTGCCTTGGAGAAGAATCTGAAAAAGGTTCATGAACAAAGAAACCATAAAGCAAGCTTTCTTGTCACCAATCTGCAGTTTTCTATCGGCAGGCAGTGATCATTATTTGTAGCCGTTATCTGCTGTGCTTTGAAAATTATGAGAGCATCAACACTGAAGACTTAAGTCCCTATAACTGGCACTTTGAAAGACTGTCAGATGAAAAGTCAATAGATGTTAACCATAGAGTCAAGTTTATGCAATACATATAACACATTAAGGAGAAACATAAGTGAGATACTGTGAGTCAAAGAGAAGTGAAGAGACTTTCAAGGAGTAATAACAAGTTCACACTGAGGTGTACTTTTATTCAGCAGGGAAAAGCTTTATGACTGAATATCTCTTAATCTATTTTAGAGTTCTGTCAAAGGAAAGACAATTTTCTGACCACAATGCAGTCTTAAATCTTACTGCACTACATGTGAAAATACTTTTCAGGACTTAAATGGACTATTGTTCTGTACAAAATATCTCTTGGCCTTTGGTAGCATTATTTTTTTGCTGAGGTATTCCAGTAAAAAAATAGATCAATAGCAGCTTCCAAAATCATCCTGAGATGTGCAGTAGAGGCCATAAAAAGCAAGGGATCAAATTAAAAAAGTGACTGTGATTAAGTAATTACAAATCTCCAAATCAGAATTTACAAAAACAGTAATTCATTTTCAGCAAAAGTTTTCAGCCACAATTCGTCATTCTAATGACCTGATTCCTCATTAAACAAACAATTTCAAAACAAATTTGGAATATTATAATTTATTTTTGTCTTCAGTATATGCTATAAAATTGCTGTTGCCAATGGATTTTACACAATTTAATGTAGATTATGAATATATTCCATACTTACACAGTATTAACTTTTTTAAATCCAAAGAATGTTCACAGATTTAATTTCAGCAGATAAAGACAATCTCTATGGGAAGATTGAGCTTGCTTGGAGACTTACTTTAGTTTTTAACCTGCTTGGCCACAGGTTGTCTGACCCCCAAGTCAGATGAGTCAGAAGGGTGCTAAGAGGGTGGTGAAGATAGGGTTAGTAGTTGCTGAGCAGAATATGCAAGGAAAGGAAAGACTGTTGGCTTTTAATTATATGGAGAAGTGTGCAGGAGATTGCTTGAATGGGAAGCTATGTTCTCCACCAGAACTGTTGTTGTACAATCTATATATTAGAATTTTAACAGAAATGCAATGGAAACTCTGAGGCAGTCACAAAAAACACAGCATTAGTGTTGCAAACAATATTATTTTACATGAGACTTAAATCTACTCAGTCATAGTACTGTCAATATTAATATATTAATCCGTTTTCTGAGTTTTAAGCATTTGTTGTGATTATCAGAGCATTTTTACTTGTTTCATTTTGGTTTTAAGAACTGGCTATTGTATAATTTAACATTTTATACTGTACTATATCTCACAATGGCAACAAAGTTTCTCAACTGAACTGGAGAGGACTTCACTATACAACACGGAATAAGATTCCATTTGTAATTAGAATTTTGTTGTATTTAAATTCACAACATGCATGCCGTACACATTTTTTTATTCTCTACTACTACTGAGTTGAACAAATGTAACCATTGAAATGTACCTGGTGCTAATTCTAACCTGGATACCTGTACAACACCTAAAAATATATCATACAAAGGCCAAGGCAAAATCACAACATCAATTCACCAGCCAACTGCAAAATGCAAAGCTCAAACATTGGATTTCCTTTATTTAGAAGACAAGATGTTTCCTGGTCAACAATAAGATAATGGGTTTGCAATTTTTAACTGAGGGGTGTGTCAAAGTCTTGATTTAGTCCATTTGGAAAAGCCCACTCTAATTTGAATCCATACTCTTAGAAGGTTTATGATAAATGTGAAGTAGTTGCAGTATAATATCAACAAATCATAAAGATTACACAGCAACAGGTGTTATAGGAGGTAAACATAATCTGGTGTCAGAAGCCAAAAGGTCTTTGCAATACAATCGAAAGATGGCAAGCAATAAAATTGACAAATATTTGTTCCATTGCTTCCCAGTCTGCTATACTGGACAAATTCCATCAGTTCAAGCTAGCCAGAGATTCCATCTATATTTACAGCTGGCAGAAAGTATTACGGACACTTCCAGGTCCTTGAGCAGGAGTGTTTTATGTCTACCTTGAACACACCAACCACCTGACTTCAGACACAACACTCAGGCAGTCCTGACCACAGGCATACAGCTGTAAAATTTACAACCTCTTAAGTTGCAATAACCACTACAGTTGGAATCTGACAGATATTCCCATGTAAAAGACCGCACAGCTTTTTCTCACAGCACAAAAGTTGGGTAAAACTTTCTCCTGAGTAAATAATCCCTCTTTTCATTCCTAATTATCTTTTCAAAAGAAGATAATTAATCCAACAAAACAGATGTCACTTTCTTTCTGTTTCCTGCTAGTTAACCCATATCTCTGGTGCTTGTCTTAACCCAATAACAATTATGCTGAAAGAATTCAATACACTTGAAAAGTCTGTATTTCATATTTAGCACAGAACTCACCAATCACATTGTTCTCCATTTTGTATTTTATTATTTTCAAACCAGATACCTCAGCTGTTTATGCCACTATTAAAACTCATCACAAAACAATATAAAATATAGTTGCAATATATATATATACAATAGTCTCAAACAAAACTTAAATACAAAGTGGTTTAGTTTTCATTTTATCTAAAATAACAAGCTTTGTTACAAGATTGTAAGATACTGTGGATAATATTTAATGAATGTAATGCACCATATTTTGTAAAGAATACTCTTCAAGATTTGGAAGAAAATGGGAGTAGGAATTTGAAAAGAGATTACCGCAAGTACAAGTCAGATGGCTGTTAGTAATACTGTATTTTGGAATATTTGAATCTCTGTATCCAGATTTCAGGAAGGTAAAATTATTGATATTAAATGCAGATACAAAAACATGCTACATATGTTCTATATATTAATCTGAATTTAAGGTGAGAATAGATATTAAATAGATATTAAAATCTAATGGATGTACTTTAAACAGAAAGCACATCAAAGGATAACTAGAATAGAACGGTTATGCTATCAAGGAACCTATTGTTTTAATTGTTGTGCTATACTGTTGTGCTAACTGAACCTATTGTTTTAATTGTTGTGCTATATAAGTGGCGTACTTCAAGCTCTAAATTGCATTTATTTTCCTGTCATGTCTAGTCCTGATGAAATACTCACCCAGCTGAAATCCATGACTGATGAAAGAACTCCTGATGTAGTAGGACTGGACTACAATTAAACCTGAATAGTAGCGATACTCCATACAATTTTCATGGCTTTTTAAACTAAGTGAGAGAATTTTCCTGTCAGTGCTAATTCAGTAACGGACATCTGTGTTGCAATGAACAGAAGAAATCTTACTTCAAAGACCAGCGTCTCATTAGTTGGACCCATCGCATACAGGCTTTCCGGTCGGTTAAAAGAGCGTTGATAGTCAAACACAGTCCCGGCAAAATGGAACTTTCCTGGCCAATCAACTGTCCAGTCCCCTGTCAGATAGTATTTCTTCTTCAAATTATGGACTGCCAGATAGCTGGTGGAGATTTCCATCTCTTGCACTCGGATATTGTGGGCCCCTGCTGGAATGGTGACCATTTGATAATACCCTGAAGACAGAAATTGATAAAGAAAAGAAAGGCAAGTTATTTAGTTGTTTTGCTCTCCTTAGCTGCTTCAGAAAAAAATAACTACTGCCTTTACTTTCAGTAAGGTTCTGAAGCTCTTACCTTTTGCCTGACCTACTGGCTTTTTACAATACAGCTAAATGCAAATACTGATACTTTATATTTAGTTTGCCATTAAATTATTTAATAGCTTAGATACCGCTTTAAGTACACACTTACAGGGCTGTAGTGTATGCACATATTTCAGAGCCATTATTTTAAACTTTGTGTTTTCTTTACAAAATGTCTAAAGCTTCATTCATTCATGTGCCATAGGAAATACCTTCCTTGGTTTAACACCATGCATGAAGTATAAATGCAAGCATGTGTCTGGATTAAGAGGTAAAGGGACTGATCCCCTGGAAGTTTCTCTTGGCTTACAGACCTAAGTATGAAATAAGCTCTCCTGAGAAGAACAACGATCCAGTGGCATCTGCTACTGAGTTCACTCAAGCTTGTCATGTTGTAACAGCTCCATAAAATTAAAGCCAAAAACTAATCTACCCAGCTGTTCTGGGTTTAGTATGTAGGTAATGTGCAAAAAAAAGTGGTTTATGTTTTACCTGAAATATATATATATATATGTCATAATGTTGCCAAAGCCAATGTCAGAGCATGTACAGTATAGTACCTTGGTTAAAATAACAACGCTAAATTGCAAAAAAACAAATGCTGGAAAGTAAGAATGCTTAGACATGCTTCAGGAATATCATGCTAAAGGCTCTTTACTTGGAAAAGTGAATTTGAAAAAAATCTAAGTATATTTTGCTTTGAGTAAATTAATCTTTCTAACTATATATGAGGCTTAATAGGGATCACTGAAAACTCATAAGTGTCGTTCTGTTAAGAATTGATATAGTGTAATTTTATGAAGCAGAAATTCTGAATTATCAAGTGTTCGGAACTGGTGCTTCAAATCATTATTCCTTGCCCTTCTGCCTATAATAAATCAAAGTAAATTGGAAGGTGTTAAAGAAAATTGAACAAGGCATGTAGGATTTCTGGATAAAATGTGCAAATATTTTAACCAACAACTTCTAGACGAGTGGTTGTTTTCAACAATTAGTTCAAGCACCAGTGCCTGTGCATAGTGGCAACTTCAACACTTGGTGTACTAAAAGATTACAAAATAAACTGTATACATATTTTTAACAGGAGATAAAAATGACACACATTTTAGATCTAATTCATGTAGAAAGAGTGGAATTTCAAATCACTGAGCATGTAGTTTACATTATGTTCATTCATTGCAGGTCTGCTCCTTGTATTAAATTTAAAATAGTTTTCAATTAAAATCCATGTGAGTACAGACCATCAAGTTAAACACTCAGTATTTCAAAGCAAGTACCACTGGATATTTTTTTTAGATCTAATTTGAGGAAATATAGCACTGGTGAGGGATATGATGAGCACTGTGATGAAAGAGGAAAAGGGCTGAAGGGAAGGTGATGTCACATATACAAAGTATGGATTTATTTCAAATAGTGCAGAGGAATGCCCCAAAGCTCAGTATTGTGCATGGTTTGTAAGTCTAAGCTATGATACTATGAAACTTTCCACAGTGATTTGTCATTTTGAGATCAAACACCAAAACTTGAAAGCTAAGCCAGTGGAATTTTTTTAAGCAAAATGAAGTCTCAATAAAAAATATTGTGAATTGAAAAATAAAGTGAGTTGTTAGCTCAATTAAGCAATGTTAAAAAGCATTATATACTTTTGCCCTACAATAGGTGAAAACTCAATAATGTCTTCAATAACAGATGCATTACATTTTGTCTTGGATGATACAGCTTGCAAGACAGCTCGTATTCTTTAGTAAAAAAGTAGTCTTGTGAAGAATTAAGTCATAATACACACGATGTTGAATACTATTAGCTGGTTTGCTAATTACAGTTACCTGTAGATGAACTGACTTCTTTTTATAGTATTTTTTTGTTGTTTATGTCCTTTTTCATATACTGTACTGTATGCAACATGTATGGGATGGGACAAGGACTTCCAGAGTCATGCCATGTAAGTGCTCAAAAAAACAGAGGCACAGACAGCCTGGAATGTCTCTAGAGCTTTATGTTGTCTTCATTATAATTGTTAAAATTGTGAATTCTGGGGAAATATATGCAATTAATCCTTGAATCTTTGCTGCTATGTGTGTAAAAATGTACTTTCAAATGGTAAAGTGCAGCATCCATCCTTTAGTAAAGTACTGAACCAAGTGTATGAAACAAGACATGAACCTGAAGTCTCCCTGTCTAAAAAAAATTATCCTGTGGCACAATACATTCACAATGGCTCACCAAACTTTTTGATCACGCCCATTACCTAAATCTATTAACTCCCTCAGCATTTGAGAAGTGTGCCCTAAAGCAGAGCACTCTCCATCAACTCTGACACACACTATACAGTTATAATCCTGCTCACTTCATGACAAAGGTTTCTTCTCATCTGTCACATTTTAACGTTGTGTATTATACTGTATGTTCACAAAAGGATGAGTTTTAGCTTATTCACCATACTGTAAATAAACCCCAGTGTGAGCACATTCATTGAATTTCAAACTAACAAGTACAAATCTGACAATAAACAATAGACAAAAATGTTTTTTTATTGCTTCTCCATGATGTGGAGAAGCAATAAAAAAGCTAAATGAATGTTAGGATATATAGTTAAAAGTTCAAGGCATGTTATGCTAACATTGGATTTAGAATATTATGCATAATTATGACCACCATGTTGCAATCATGATATTGCTGCTGTGAAATCAGGCCAGGAAAGAGTGACCAGATACATTCCTGGGCTTAAAGGAATGTTCTACTCTGACAGACTAAACGAACTTTAAGTCTTGAACAGACAAGGCTACGAGGTGAGCTGATTCAAGTTATTCAGGATCTTCAAAGACTTTAACAATGGATTTCTTGAAACAAAACCCAGAGGACACAAGTGAGAAATACAGGAAAGTGATTTTTAAAATAGGAGGCCTGTTTTACAAAAAGGATTGTGGGAGTCTGCAACCCCACAATCCTTGGCTTCTTTCAAAAAACTGCTATAAGAGATCCTTGGACCAATTAAAGTCTAGCAACCAAATTAACTAAATGGACCAAATTGTCTCGTCTCATTTGTAACCATTCCTATGAAAGTATTACCTCTAAGAACTTGTAGCTCAGTTAATATCTGAACAATTCAGTAAACTAATTCTGACATAGAATTAGAATTCTGAAGATTCAGAGTAAATAATCTTAAATACATACCATTAGATCTGTGCTGCTGGAGGTGCTGTCCCTTAAAAAATGTGCAGGTAGAGTTATCCCCATTACACACACCACAGGCATCCAGAACAGACTCTGAACCCAGAACATGGTCACACCCAACTGGCTAAAGCAAGGACACAAAATTTTCCAATGAATTTCTGAATGGGAACTCAGAACAATATACAGTATACAGTTCACCAACTAACAAAAGAATTTAATCTAGTTGGATAACTAGCCATGTTCTTGAACCCTTGCTTCTTTTCTATACAGTATGTCAATTATTTGGCATATGGCACCATTTAGTTTGAAATGTTTCTTATATTCTTATGTTACGCTACTCATATTCTCTAGAATATCCTGTAACACCAACAACAGATATTAGATGCATTCAATATACTGCAACTGCAATTCTACACAATGCAGAAGCACAGAACTCCTTTAGGGCCAATCAACACAATTACACAACATGGTTCCCTCAATGTGGTTTGTGTAGGGGTTTACTCTACCTCACAGATGCCATCGATACACACATCCCCTGTGTGATCAGAACATTTGGTGCCATCCTTCACTTTACTTGACATTGCAAAGAAGAAATCAAAGTCCTCGGCTATGCAGTACAGTTTGCAGATGTCTTCCGCTACAAACAGATACACAAACATTTCTGGAATTAAAAATGGTTACCTGCCTTTCAGTACATGTGTAGTTCAAGTACTGTAGGTAGCTGCGTTAGCATGTGTAGGCTGCAAAGGAACAAGTAAAGGTTTATTCCATGCTGAAAAGAGAAGTAAAGAAACACAACCTTTTGGCTGTAGAGCCTTCTTTGGGTGTTTTTCTTATCTTTCCAGCCTGAAATAAACTTTTATTTGTTCCTTTTCAGTACATGTGTACAGTTGTGTTTGTGTGATAAGTACTGTATATAACTGTTAAATATTACTGTTTAAAGGACATGATGTGCTTCCTCTGTTTCTAGACATAGACTGAAGTCCTTGATCTATTTTAAGCCGTTCAGCTCACATAAGTGGTAGACAACACTTGTATATGGCAAATAAATGAAGTGGAGAGGAATACCATTAATTGTGCTTATCATGACTGTTTTTAACTGTGTTAAATGTTAGGATGTAATGCACTACTTTAAAAGTGTCTCCTAAGCTCAAAGATTAAAGATATGATTGAAGATCATATCTTTTTAAAAATAAAATCAGGAAGCTTTCTTCTACGTTTGCCTGAACAGCAATGCATGACTGCTTTTAGAAAATAAGAAATGCAGGTACAATTCTGATGCAAACTGGTAAAACTATTCTGTACTAAATGCTTATTTCTATCACTAAAAAGAACTTGTTCATACACAGACATGATGTTATTTCCTAAAACATAGCATATGCATGTATGGTAATGTTTTGCAATAAGAACAGCTATCAGGAGTCTGTGCCTTAAATGTAAGACAGAAAATCCTGGTTTAATCTGATTTCAGTGCTTAACAGTATAGTTGCTCAAGGATAAGTACTTTACTTTCTGAAGCCTCACTCTACCCTGGAGTAACTCTGAATCACTGCCAAGCTAAGATGAGGAACACATATAATGACAGAGTAGATAGATATGTACTTCAGATAGATATAATAAAATTAGTTTTCATCTTCCCTGTGGTTGTATTTACTTGACTTTTTCACCAGTATTATTAGACTTTTATTAAACTAACACAGCTAACACTGAATGGTTTGTATTTCAGGTATTGATACTACAGTATATATCTCTATTTCCACCAAGTCTGCTGTAACTATCATGACAGCAAACCAAGAACATAATTTTTGCCCTAGAGCATCCTAATGACCTTTTAACTTCCATGCTGGAGATACAGGCTGCTACATGTTTTAAAACTCTCTGTTCAGCATAGCTTGTTCTCCTAAGAAGTTTAAAGTTTTAGAATATAAGGTAAATTCTGAAGTAGAAAGCAATCATTTAGGCACCTGTGTGTAATATGATGTGTAATGATTTTTGTGTAAAAAGAAGGCATGCATAGTCAAGAACCATTAAAGCATACAAAGTAAAACTAAAAAAACATACCAACACAAGCATATGAATTAAAAAAATGTAAATATAAATATATAATATGAACAACTGCAATTCTAACATCAAGCATCATTAGGAATACAAAATGATAATGGCTCACAAACTGTGAACTGTTATTTGCTGTGAAATCCAGAAATAAGCAGCCTGGGCATTAGAAAAGCCCATCCTGTGACTATCACCATTTAAAGTGCAGTATTTTGTCTGCCTCTAGATGTTAATTGAAAGCAAAGTTATGTGTACAAAAGGTGCAATTATTACAATACACAATCCTCAGCTGTCCACTGAGAAAATCTACAAAATCTATACTGTGAGAAAAACTGTGAAAATTGCCTGTTGTTTACAATATACTGTATGTATGTTTGCAGCATTTCAGTAGCATCCCTAAGCATTATATTATTAACAATCTTTTATTGCACTGTTTCCTTGTGTCATTGTTTAATTTCATTGATTATGATAATAGCAGTTAACTGTTTCCATTTTGACACATGCTTACAAAATTGAAATATATATAAAATCTTTGCTTTACCTTCCACTTTTGTATAAGGTTTCCATTTGTAGTACCAGCCCCTGAAGGGTTTGCTGTTGTATTCAGCACACTGCTGTGCCCGGAAGTCTACACTGTTGGGCTGGCAGGCGTTGGTATTACACAGTTGGTATAAACGACTGGAACCTTGGCAGAACTTCCCACTGTACTGTGGCCTAGGGGCAAATTAGGTCACTTAGCAAATATTCAGAAAAAAAAACTATATGCAGACATTGCTGTTTATTAGTATTGTGTACTATTTAATAAATGCTTGAGGGAAATATAGATTAAATCTTGGCTGTGGTTCTTATAGGATTATAATACATCATGAATATTATTATATTAAGATCACATGCATATGAATACAGGATCTTTACATTGCTAGGTTGTGTGTCATTGGTTATGTTACACCAGGGCAATGTCTTATCAAGTGTCTATAAATCAAAATTCGAAAAAAAATAATAATAGTCTTTAAAATCCATACCAAAACTCCCCGGTTTTTATAGGAGTTTCCTTAATACACAGTGTCTTGAAAACATACACAGACCCTCTCTCCAACATCAGATTTTGTGAAATTACAAATGGATACAAGCTTTTTTTATTTAAAACCTGAATGTTCAAAGTTAAGACTTCCAAGGGTAAGATAATTTACACTCAGCAAAAACTAAAATGAAAACATGTTGAACAACAACTGAAACATGTTGATTATATAAGTATTCTATCTTTGTAACAGGGGAGCATGTCTCTTTAGGTTTATGCCAAGGAGCTCTTTTTATATATTCCAAGAATCTTTTCTGTTCCCTTCATGTTCTCCATATCACTGTGATATTCCCCTATCCCTACAGTGTTGTTTTACTTTGGAGATTCATGTTTTGCTCTCCAAGTGTTCAAACTCCAGTTTGAATACGAGTGCGAATTAAAGATAGCAGCCAACAACATTTCTGAGTTTTAAAATGGCTGAAACAACAACTTCAGTAGGAATAAAATGTCTATTGACATTAAGGATAAGCCCTACTGGGAAATCATAGATGAAAAGCACACATTCCGTCAGAATGTACTTTATCTGCCTAATTGCAATATGCTCTATCTTAGTTTTCTAAAATGAAACTGGAAGTTATGTGGATTACAAATAGTAACTTTATAAGTATATGTTGTCAAAGTTTCTTGTGATTTCTTCATGTTTATGGAAAATACAGAAGCTGTTAGGTAGAATGGCCTTCTGGGATAGGACTGTAGAATATAAGTGTTTGGAAATGCCCTGGATTCTGCCCAAGTTTCTGACCTCTTGTATAAAGGCTGGATATTGAAGGATCTCCTAGGTAATGCTTCTGAAACTGTTCATTTTTTATTTTTGTGAAAACAAAATATTATAATAAAATATGGAGTACAGTATGCAGTTCCAGCTGATGAGAAGTATCCCATTAGCATGGTGCTACCACCACCATGCTTGACAGTAGGGATGATGGTTACTAGATGATGCATTGTATTGGGCTTGCATCACACACAAGTCCAGAAAGTTCAGATTTTGACTTGTCTGAATACAAAGGTTTTAATCACACATTTGCAGTATCACTTAAATGCTTTATTGCAGATTCTACAGTATATGGGATTTACAAACCTGCCATACAGGCTAGTTTTGTACAGTGTTGTAGACATTGTTGACTGAAGCCCATTTTCTCTGCCATATACAGTATTGTAGATCTGTACTTCTTTCAAAGCTGTCACTGGCTTCACAGTGGCATCTCTCACCAGTTTCCTTGTTGCCCTGCTGATCAGTTTGAAAGAATGCCCTGATCTAGGCAATATCTGGCTGGTACAATGCACCTTTCTTGATGAATAAATACAGTAGTCTGTGTTCACAGGGATATTCAGAGACTTCAATTTTTTGTACCCGTCCTGATCTGTGCTTTTCAATGACTTTATCCCATACTTGCTTTGAAAGCGGTTTAGTCTTCATGGTTGAATCTTTTCTTGAATTTCAGTACCTGTCCATTGAACCTTACAGAGATATACATTTTTTTTTTAAATTCTGAAATCATTAGAACCACTTTTACTGCACACAGTCAGAGGCCACTCAGATAAATTTTGTGGCTTAAGAAGGTACTTTAGTGCACCAAAATAGTTTGGTTGCCAACAACACCTTGAAATGTCAGTTGTTTTTTTTTTGCTTCAAATGTGTGGAGCATATATTTTATTACAAATATTAATTGCTACTTCAAAGTGACATAATTGCAATTCTTAAAGCAACAACATGTGAAAAGGTCTGAATGCTGTATATACATTAAAATGTTGGGCATACTTCCTCAGTGAAGCCTCACAGCTACAGTAAAACTGTTCACTGGATTCAAGCCAATCTTCTCAAGAGGCTATATTGTAGCAACTAATACATTATTCTAATATATATTTATTAAGGCCACTCATAAAGAGATCTTTTTTTCTCTTTAGAAATGCTTAGTGGCTTGTTAGTTTAGAACATTAAGAACATTTGACTGTTTTGGCTATCACTTAAAATCTGGTACTAAAAAGTTGTTCACATTGTGCTGTTCCCAGAGATCTGAGGTAGGATCACAGTCTCATCCATTTACTGATTATGCATTAAGCCATATGGGCCCATATGTTAAAGTACTTTACTACATGGCCTCAGCAGAGGTGCAGTACATAGTCATCCGTCATTGGTTATCTGCTCATTTATACCACATTTAAGAGAATAACATAGGGGATCAATGACAGTTCACACCAGGTCTGCACAGCTTAATACATTTTCCATTTATCAAGTGTACCACAAAAAAGCAACTGCAAATGTTTGTTACAAATTCTATATATTTCTCTAATCAGTCTCAACAGCAAATAACTTCAAAACCTAAATCCTACATGGATGTTTTATAATGATTTAGCCTTCAGTCACCAGACACCACTCAATTTAAAATTAAACTCAGAATGAACAAAGCAAATGCATTTATTGTCAGATCAGTGCTGCATATCATTGACAACAATAATACACTACTGTTTAAGTAATATGTTAGTGTAGATGTATGGAAAAATGCTTATTCATTTTTGTCTCTAAATACCATTTTTTAAACATCCAAAGTTTCACCATTATTAAAACATTATAGTAGTCAAGAGGATCTCAAATTTGTTCCTTGACAACATCCACATAACACATGCCTAAAAATGTGTTATGCATGCCTAAACAAGTTGCAAATATCTGATTTTGTTCCCACAATAGGTTATATACTGCACAGTTATCCTAACAAAAATAATGGATTATGTACTGATACTCACAGAAATCTATTCTATATGAGAGAACTCGCAGCGTATACTCATGCCTTCAGGGTTTCTGAGAGAGAACTGATATAATGTACATCACCATTATCACTGGTATTCAAATAATCAGTGAGCTGTCTGGACAGAAATGTTTAGATTGGAAATTTAAAATCTGAAGAAAAAAGCAGCTCATATCTTCACGTCTGCATCTGAAAAGACTGTTACAAAAACGGGGCTATACTGTAGTGTATCAATTCCTTTTCAATCCAGAAAGATGAACAATCATGAGATTGAAACGTAATGCCACAATTCTTCTTTCACTACTCAGTGAACAAATGGTTTACAAACTGATGGATACACTGTTAATTTGCGATATTAAAATGCATTTTATGAATTCTTCTTATTGACCTACAGAAAACATGACTGAGGAATGATTCTTTGTACTCCTCTATAAAATGCATACGCCTTTTTTACTTTTCCATGATCTTTCTGTACACAAAAATACAGGTGTCAATTCACAGAAGAAAACCATTGTATTTTGTATGTTTTTATAGTTCTTTAAAATCTTTTTTAGATCCTAGTTTTACCTAGGATCACAGAACCAAGACCATTATTTTCCAGAAAGCCATATTATTTGAACTACACCACATTGTGAGTCCCTTGAGCTTGAAGTCAAAGTTTTTCCAGCTTTGTTTAAACTTCAGTTTGAAGCCACAGCCATCAAGACATTTCCCAGTCACCCCAAGGCTGTTGTTGTGAAACATGGAGATTTACTGGCCAACTATAAAGAAAGAAACTAGGTACTAACAGTTAACTATATTGTAAAGATGTTGAACTATATTATGTTCAACACAGGCACCTGCAACAACCATTGTAAAACAGTATCAACCACTAATTCCACTGAACAACTGACACTGAGAAGGAAGTGCCTTAACATACAGGCTCCTCTGAAGTGAATTTTCTTTGACATACATGTTTCATCATTTTGTACTGCAAATACTGCATGTGTTTTAATTTAAATACAGTCAATGCATGCTGGTAGTGCATATATATCTGGTAGCTTATATATTACATTTTAATGTGTATTTATTGTTATAATTTACTTATCTAGAGTAATGGAGTTATGCCACTTCCGAAGATAATGGATTCAGTCGTTATTACAGTTTTATTCAATAGTACAGGTTTAAATTGGGTAAAATTACCATTTTTCTCTACCAAAACCAAGTCTTTGGTTTGTAGCGTACTGGAAGTATTAGTGTCTTCTAGTCCACTGTATTTATGGAAGACAACATATCTGATTAAATGAATATTTACATCATCGTGAGCAGCAATAACTTACTTCGGGCTGTTGCAAAACCTTTCTCGATACGTGACTCCGCCTCCACAAGTCCGAGAACAGTCCGACCACTCGGACCATGATGACCACTGTCCATGTACAGCCTTAGGTCCAACATCCCCATACTTTACACATTGACCACTCCGACACCACTACAAGAAAGCACAAATCAGTGTCTGCTGCTCAAACTTAATTCTCCACTCTGCTGGAACTCTGGTAGAACAGGAAACTTCCTCAGCTGTGATTTTTAGTTAGGGATGTTTGTTGTCCCCACCTTGAAAGTGATGGAATTCTTACCTAAACAACATAAAAATGCCTCAAAAACACTGGAAAATGTAAGGGACTGACAAAGCTTCCAAAAGTTATGGAATACAATATAGATATACAGTATAATAAATGAATTATATACAGTATGTCAAATATGAAATGCAGTGTGACCAGGACTGAATCTTCCAAAAAGTGTTTTGTATTGGAAACACACTTAGGGCCCATCATGAGACATGTCTTACAGTTATCTGAAACGTGTCCATCCAGGTCACACTCACTGATATCTTTATCAGACATCGGACTCACCATATTTTGTCCACACATAGTTCCTTCTGCTGCTGGCATGAACTTTGTCTCGCACCTATGCCCTGTTCTGTGGCACCACAGCGATTTACAGATGTCCTGAAAAGAAAAATACTGACTTTTAGTCTAGTATCTAGCCCCAGCAAATTAATATTGACACATTCCTACACAGTGTTATGATTATCATGTTAGTGAAACAAAATTAGTCATAAAGATAAAGAAAACAACAGTTTAGTGCTTTAGGAATTGGCAACTGAATTTTAATGTTAGCTTTAATTTAAAGAGGAACTATGTTTAATAAACTCAAAAGAAAGGCTTCAAGCCATGATGTGGATGTGTGCCATTCTGGCTTTGAGCCCGATTGCATCTGGCAAACAAAGTCAGTTTTGAAAGCTGGTCCCACTGAGCATTAATCTAACAGTGGAGTCTGTTTGGTTTGTGCACTGAGTCCATAAGAATGCATGGCTAATTAGCCCTCTTCTACTGCACTATGCAGTCTGAATCTCAACACAAACTGCTGCTGTGAGATAGCTGAAATCCCTTTAATTAAGATGTTGAGCCGCTCACGTTGTAGCTCAAATCACAAAGGCTAAAGCTTCATGTTTAGAGACAAAAGCATGGAGGTATACAAAGGACTATGTTATACTATAAGGCTAATCCTGAATTCGGACCTGGTGGATGTTTTGTTTTCCCAAGGCTGTGTTCTTTCAGTCTAATGATTATTCATAAGGGATTTGCATATTAATGAAGGCATAGCTGCAACAGGTGTGGAGGTGTCACTGATCTTTCTAGTTTTTGTTTTAATGTGCTCTATATAACTAATGTTTCTGCAGTAAGCTTGTAGCGATCAAAAGCCTTACACCAGTGCTTTCAGCTCATTTGATAAAGGTTATTCTATAAAATGATGAGTAGAATTGCCAAAATTGTATTGTGCTTCACAACTCTAATTAGACTAAGGTAATATTTCATTACATTAAACCATGCCATCCTTGAATTATTTTTTCTGTTTCTTAGCATAACAGCCAACCTTTCGTTTGTAATGTTTTCTGATTGCTTAGCTTCATTTAGTAATGATCTAAATGTCTTTGCACTGTTATTTATTGTGAAAGGATTGGGAAAATACTATCCAGAATTACCAAACAATTCAATCAGGTACCTTTATAAAGTCCAGACTACAGAGCTTTGCCTTTGAGCCAAACTGCCATTTGCACTGAGTATCAGCATCGTACAACTGTCCAGGGAGTTTGTCTGGGAATTTATATTGTCCAATTTGCTTTGGTTCATCAACAAGACAAGAAGCTTGAGCTGTACTGTGAAAAAACACACTGCATCATTAAAACAGAAATTTACAGAGTGGATAACACTTAGAACAAACTAGCATTTACTACAATTTAAGAAACGTTAAATAAAAAAAAGAAGTGTCTAAATGTGTTATGGTTTGGGTATACAGTACCTCAGGAACCTGTTGAGATACTGCCGACTGCAAGCAGACCAAGAAAAGACTCCATTGTTTCCAGCTAGTGTTGGAGACATGATGTTTCCTTCAGCCTTCTTACATGGATTCCCTTCACCATCATGAATCATACCAAAACTGCAAATATTGTGAATAAGAGAACTTGAATTAACAGATGTAATAAGCAAATGAAGAAAGCACTTGTGTCTAGCCATAAGAACAGATAACTACTGTATATCTATATGGTTACTGTCAAGTACTGTATTTTAATCTAAATAATCAAGATGCAATATACAGTTGTTTAGCACTGTCTCATATAGTTATTCTTTGCCTCACTTGGAAGTAAAGATGATATGATTGAAAGCATACATGATTGATTTATAGTATATACAAAATAAAACCAACAGTATGTTAAAAAACCTAAACCTTATTCTTATTCTAAACGCTAAAATCCAGATTTCCATTCTAAATATTCATAATCAAATGGTTCATTTCATTCCACATTATTTAGCACACAATAGTTTAGTTATTTCTCTAGACAAACAGTCTTGTGTGGGTGAGAATTTTGAAGTAAATGTATGAACAGGATCTTAAATATTTAAACTGTTCCTCTTATCTCAATAACAAAGTGTAATTAAAAATACATTGCCTGTAGCCGTTTATATTGGTTGCAGACATTTTCACTGAGTAGATGAAGCAATCAAAGATGCCCGATGTTCCTACTCACATTCATATTCTTCTGTTCCAAGAAAACTTGTGTTTTCTTGGAACCAACAGGTCATGAATTTTAAAACTAGTGCCTATGGGAGGAAACCCACATGAACACGGTAAGAACTCTACTCAGATAGCACTATAGGAATTAAACCCAGGGCCTCAGCACTGTGGGGCTACCACTGCACCCATGTGCCGCCAAACCATTCTATGTTGCTTTTATGAATATGGCATTCATGGAAGGTTTGCAAGGAAGAAGCATCTTTTGAGAGTGACCCACAAAAAGAAGCAACTTGAATTTGGCGGGCTACTGTACATCTGAATGACAACTGGAACCATAAGATCAGATAGAGCAAAAATCGAGCCTTAGACATGTTCAGCAGCACTATATTTGAAGTAAAAGAGTGAAGTCTTCTCATATTGAGAAAACACTCACGTACACTGTGAAATATAATGTGGCATCTATTATGATTTGGGATTGTTTAGCATCAAAATGTCCTGGAACCCTTTTCAAAATATGGGGAAAGGGTAAAACCAGGCCAAACACCTGGTTTCCTCAGCCAAGAAACCCGAGCCTTGTCAAAAATGGGCATACCAGCTTGACAATAATTGAAAACATACATCCAAATCAACAAAGAAATGGATCTGCACACAATATAAATGTTGTTGACTACCCATCTTAACCTCCAGACCTCAATCTATTCAATCATTTGCAGTTCAAACTTATGAAGGCAATAAAAACAAAACACAAAGGATCTAAAGGACCTAAAACTTTTTTTCTTGTAGGAATGACCACAAAACCTAACCCTAACCCTAACCCTTACACCCTCAGAAGTGACAGAATCATAGTGAATACAGCAGGAAGTGCTTTGTCAGTGTAAACCATAACAGAGGAGGATTTAAAAAACACCAACTACAGGGGTGTGAATAATTATGACCATTGGGTTTTATGGACTTAAATTATGACAAATATCTGGTCTGTGTGATGATATTGGAGCATGATAATATTATCCAATCCATAAATAGTTCTGTAATTTCAGTACCTTCTTCATTGGAGATAGAAATCAGGGGCTCTGTGGCTAAGGATCTGTGCCTGTGGCTGGAAGGTCGCCAGTTCTTATCCTGCGGCCGGCAGAGGAATCCTATTCTATTGGGCCCCTGAGCAAGGCCCTTAACCCCAACTGCTCCAGGGTTATAACCCCAAGCTTCTCTCCCTGTCTGTGTGTCTGTGTGTCTCAAGGAGAGCAAGTAGGGGTATGCAAAAAGACAAATTCCTAATACAAGAAATTGTATATGGCCAATAAAGTGATCTGATCTGATAGAGTTTTACTCAGCATATTGACTTCTCTATACATAAGCACGGCCACACATTAGATGTACTGTAGGTCATGTAGTATGGACATGTCCAGCCTACAAGGATTTGAACTGTTTATTTCTGAACAGAACATCAAATAGACCATGACGTTCTATAGACTGAATCTGGTGAATTCCACTAGTTTGGTGGAAGAGCTCATAAGCACTTACTGTAGTTCAGCCTGTCATGCTTCAGGATACATTTGATCTTTACAATGACACCTAACACATTATTGTTAATATACTGTAGTTCCTACAAACGCATGTCTTGGTTTTTTTTGTTTGTTCTTCATTTCTATACACATAAACTGCATTCTACAGTATGAGGGTACTGTAGTTGGGTGATGATTTTACAGTTTGTGGAAGAACTAATAAACTACATTTGTCATCCTATAGAGCTTATCTTAAGGTGGCCAAATCTTACTATGGCAGTTTTAGTCACCATAATGTTAGTGCTATTTATGAGGCAAATGTTGGTAGCTGATATGGGACCAGTTACCTGTAACCCTATTCCCAAGTTTATAACTAGCTAATTTGCTCTTACTCTATTTGTTGCTAACCTCATCAATGTGTCTGTAGTTTGTTTTTTTACTAGCAGGCTTAAAGTCTGCTGCTGTTGTGCTAAAGTTAAAAAAATGGGTCTAGACCTTCAAGTATTTAACCACTAATATCCTACTTCCAACTTGCCTTTTCTCACAAAAACTGAAAAAGACAGTGGTAATCAATGATATCTTGTTATGATATCTTGTTGATGACTTCTGACTTTGGGTCACATAATATTCTTCTCCTTCTGAATTGCGATACTTTGATACTATCAATCAGAATCCTGTTGGAGCACAACAAAACCTATGGCTAACTAGAACGTCCCTTCATTGTTTAACTCCTAATTGGCTAACATAAGTCAACTATGACAGTTTAAGATCTGATATTGCCCTGTTTATAGTGTCCCATAAGGTTGTGTACTAGGAGCTTTACTATTTATAATAAATCATCATGAGCTTGGTTTGCTCTTTTTTGCAAGACATTTAGATTTTGAAGACATTTACTTGCAGACCAAGTCAGATTTTACTACTGATATTTCTGAACTTTACATGTGCATATCTGATCTATTAAGGTATAGATGCAACAAAGATGTAACACAGCTTCTTAAGCAAAACTATGTCATCAGCTTTGCAAAGTTGGTGACTTCAGTGTTGTTTTTTTTCCATCTGTGTAAAATTAAAGACTCTGTTTATGTGATACAGAAACATTGATAAATGTCTTCATTTAATTTAGATTAGACTACTGTCACGGACGTCCAAAGGGACTAACTGTGGGGAGCAGGAGAGCAGAAAAAGACCCATATGCGTAGCGGCGAGACGGGAAAAAGGGCCGGGCTCATTAGTGCAAAGAGTTCAGGAATGCCGTATAGAAACCTATGCCCTCAGGGAGCGGACGTGGGGCGCCCTGGTGCTAGGCGGGTCTCAGGACATCTGAACATCAATGCTGAGCCAGGACAGAGTGCAAGACCCGGAAATATATAGCCCAAGGGAAAGAGAGGGACAGGAAGGCCAGCAGACCGGAAACTAGGGACAGGTCAGAGAAGGAGCGCCCTCTGGCTGCAGAGGGCGTGACAACTACTGTAAAGCCTTATTTACTGGTTTATTTACTAAAGATTTAAAACAGGCTTCACCAACTCCAGAAACAGTGTGCAGTTTGTGTGCTAACTAAAACTACTTTGCATCCACATATTGTATAACTCCGGTCCTCTGTAATTTGTATTGGCACTCTGTGAAACATAAGAGTGGACTATTCGTCCACGTATAAGGTACTGAATTGTCTATCTTCAGGTTATCCAAAGAACATAGTCAACATTGGTATTGTGTCAATGATGAGGAATACTTAATGAATCAATTAGATTTAAATATGATGGATTAGGTATATCAGCTAATTTTACTTGCAAAGCAGTGCAATTTCCATTTCTGTCACCAAATATGGGGACAATCAAATACAACAACAAATTAATAAACAGTATAAGCATACTTGTGGCCTGATTCATGAGCAATGGTGAAAGCCAATCCCAGTCCTGTGTCTTCATTTATAGTGCAACTTCGGTATTTACTGCACATCCCACTTATAGGTGCAAAACCTTACAAAAGAACAAATATTATTAATGTTGCTTTCATTACCATTGTTTCTGTTATTTTTATGTCCTAGCTAAGCAGAAAAAAATGACATAGAATGCAAATAAAATAAGTGTACCACTACAATAAGTTCAAAATAAATTAGTAAAATGACAATAAAGCTAGCACAAACAGGAAGAGAAACACAATTGCCTTGCAAATACAAAATGAAACAGTAAGAACTAAAACAGTATAGAGTGGTCTGGATACAGAGCAGTAATGTAAACCAGATATGTATACTGCCTATTCCTTGTTCCTTTGCAGACTCCGCATGCTGACGGAGCTACCCACCTGAACTACTGTATCATGTCTACACGAATACATGCAATTAGCAAGTTACATTGACAGTTTGAGATTGTTAGTGCAGAAATGTGTTAGTGAAGGATATAGTTCATACCAGAGAAACCACGGGACTTATAATAATAATAATAATAATAATAATACACTTTATTTTATATAGCACCTACAGTATAATGGCTTCGCAAAGAACTTTACAGAATGACAACAACAATAAAAAAAAATACACAAGATATGCACGATGAGAATACACAAAGAGAGCAGACAGTAGATGAAGGCACTGAATACAGTAGGAGTAGAGAACAAAACCAGTTAAGTAAAAGCTCTTCTGAAGAAGAAGGTTTTGAGTCTGAATTATCTATATAAGCCAATGAGTCCTGATTGAGTACCAACAGGTGGTCAAGGAATGTGGAGAGCCATTCTACAGCTGAGGGGCAAGAACTGGCAGTGGATCTGGGAGAATGGTGAGTAGGTATAGAAAGTCTGGGGGAAGAGGAGTGGAGAGGGTGTTTCAGCTACTGTATAAGAGTCAGAAGACTGACAGGAGCAGAGTGGAGACAACAGTGAGACAACAATAGAGATCTGTCCAGCATTAGGGAGCTACTGGAAAGTCTGGAGTAATGAAGAAGTTTGAGAGAAGCAAGAAAGAGCAAAGAAAGGGGAATTCTGGTTGATATAAAATGGGCAGATTGCTTCGACAGGGAGGCTGATCGAGGGACAGGTACAATAGTCCAGGTAGTAGAGCATCAGAGCATCTCCATTAGGAGCTGTACAGAACAGTTATTAAGAAATGGTCAGACTCTGCACATGAGAAGAAGAAGTGACAAAAGTGAGTCAACAGAAACATGTTGGGAGGGATTAAAAATGATATAGGGGTATTCTTGATATTAGTGAGTGATAGAATGTCATGGAGAAGATAAGTGGAAAAGAGACGGAGGCATCTAAAGAAGTAAAAAGGAGGTCAGATTTTAAAATAATCCTAAAAGAGTGAAAGGCCATACAAACAGCACAAAAGTCAGGCTCATTGTCTTACTATTAGAAGAGACAATGACAGTTAAGTAATTCCCTTTTTTGTGACTAAACTTATAACTCACAAAAAGCCAAATACAATCACCGAAAACCAATAGAATATTGTTGGAATAAAATGTTCTGGTTCAATGTCTAATTAAATGTTAGATCAAGAGGTACAACTTTGATAATACTTATAGGTGTTTACCCAATGTGTCACAGGGCTCATTCTTCCAAGAGCAGATATCTAGTCCTGTGAGCAGCACAGCGTGATCGTGATGCTTTCCAGTCTTTCCAATCAAACCGGACTGCCACTGGCAAAAGCTGTTCAATGACTGATCAGCATGGTGGTTTACTGTTAATCCCATCTACACATTTTGAACACAAAACAATTCCCATTAAATCCAAAGCAAAAGGTTAAAGTATATGGCTGTCAATTAAAATACGAACTATTTTTTAATTATTACTATAGACCACATTTCAAAATTAACGTTGCTAACTAAAACCAAGAAAATGTAAACATGTAAAAACAAGTCATGTTCATATGATTATGAAACTAATCCTATGAAAAAATATTTTTTGAAAATACAATTCAAGCAGATGTTCTCAGTAGTTTAGCAGCTCTACTGAACAGAATGAACAGCAGAAAACATTGATTTAAATGCAACTTACTGGGTCTTGTTCTAGCAGAAGAAGACTCACAACCACAATGTTTATGTCAGTCCCAATGGTGCCATCTTTAAAGAGACTGGATACCTAAAAAAGGAAACTGGACATTATTCTCTTGCACGTAATAACTCTACTGAATGTATAAGCTACAGCAGTTTTGCAGCCAACAGTTGCTGACATTCATGATAATTCTATTTTAAAACATCCATGTCCTACAGCCCAATGCTAAAGGACTCACCATGTTCATGACTGTCAGGATGTACGTGGTGACATTTTCTTTGCCATGCTTCTCCAACATTTTCCGGTCAGCCACCACCAGGGTTTCCACATTGAGGCTGTTAGAGTTGATAGGGGAGCGTTTGAACCTTCCTTGTTGCTCATACTCATCATTTGCTACGTGGAGGTTCTCTGCGGGAGGCTTAGGAGTGTCTGCAAAAGAAGCAGAAGAGGTGTGCTTCGTGGAAACAGATGAAAAAATATATTGCTGATTTCCGGAACAATCCCAGATAAGGTTGCATGGGCTGTTGAAAGAATAGGAAATATTCACAATCATTCACCAGATGAAGTGCTTCCTTTGGCTCTTTATTGTGTCCTCTCATTTAAAAAATGTTAATGTTCTTTTTCCTGGACACAGTTTCTGATCCAAACAATGCTAAAACTGTAAAAGTTATCAGAACCTGCACCTCAAAACTAGGTATCGTGGCAGAACAGCTCATTTTCTACATAACAGACTAAATTCATTCCAATTCAATTATTTAATCTTCTGTATTAAAATCAAGGTAAGGAAAAAGTAAAGTTCCCTTACATACATTTCTTGCGCCGTCCACAGAAATGCTGCTTCGGATGTTTCTTGTGCTGGTAGTCTCTCTTGTACAGGTTATAGGGATGAAGAGAATGGCTTACAGCATCCTTAGAGCTGTACATCTTGCTGTGATGTACTCTGTGTTCAGCAGAGCGTTTGTACAACACATGAGGGTGATGGCCCGTGGGGACTGTATAGTTATGCTGAATTGCAAGATGTGGAGGTAAGGGCATAATGAAGAATTCATCATCTTGTGTTCTTATCAAACCTGACTAGTAAACAGAGGAGAAAAAAAATTGGAAGTCTTCAAAAGAAACAATCAATTTTACATCACTCCCTATCTCAGAGTAATGAGGAAAAAGATCAATATCTAATAATGTATCTCGATAAAAAAATATTACAATACAGTGGCATATGTATTTAAAGTATAGAGAAATCTGAAGTACAGTGCATGCAGCACTTACTCTAATTTTAAACAAGCTGAACTGTGGAAACAAGAATCTCAACATTTAAAAAGCTGTTAGGAGGTTGTGTCTGTAAACACTGGACATGAATCCAGTATATGTACACACAGGAAGTATTCTTAAATGTACAATAGTATTAAGTTCAAACAAGCAGAACAATGGAATTGATTCATGACCATTCTTAAACTCAAGATGAAAGTGTAAAAAGTAAGCTCCAGACATTACTTTCATTCCTTCAAAGCTAAAAAGCATAAAACGGAAAGACCTATAGTCATTTTACATTTGTTCTTCAATTAAGAACTCCTTCTTTAAAGACTCTCTGAGTACAGACCTGTTAAGGACAACTTGAACAAGGAAATTCAACCACCTATGAAGACACAATTTACCCTACAGTTATTAATCATCCAACCATACAGCATGTTATCTGAGCATCTGTTAAAATGACTATATCGATTTGATTAGCAAACAGAGCAGATATACAGCTGTATCTGCTTACACTTGCCTGTTACAGAAGGGTTTTCGTGTTTTAAATACTATCTCAGGGGATCTGTATCTGAGAAAATGTAAACCATGCTGTGAAAAACAAAATATTGTTTTTCATCAGTCTAAGAACCCGTCACTAATGTACACGGAGTTTTTTAATCCCTAAAGTATTTTTTTTTTTGTTTTTGCAAGTTAAAACGGATCAGCATCAGAAGGGCAAGTCAAGAGCTTCATTCAGCTGTGATAAATGAAGGCTGAGGTTAGAAGTTATGCAGCAGAATAAAATCTATAACTGTTGAACAGGTACACATGGGGACATAGCCATAGTAAGAATCCAAGATTGTATTCAATCATATTCGATCATGAAATAATACTGGGTTGTAGCGCAAACACCTTATTAATTTAAACAAAAGGTGTAAAAAAAAAGATACACATCCAGGGTGTATCTTGCCTTGCCTAGCGTGATAGGCTCTGACTACCCTGCAGCCATGTACTGGATAAAGAAAATGGATGGATGGATAAAATAACCCTTTACAATGAAAATTCACTATCCTTATGCTATGAAATTTGCAGGCTATAAAAGGGTTAACGTTAATTAAGCCTTATAACAAGTGGCTCTGTTTAATAGTACTGTATATTTAATACACAGTACCCTGTGAATCAAAGGCAGAAGTATTTAGTCAGCTTTATAAAACTGCCAGGACAGTTCTGGAAGCAATAAATTGCCATTTTTGCTTTGCCTCTGTTGTATGTTGTCTTATTATGATAATGAATGGCAATGGCTTGTTCCAGCTGGCACTGCTACAGTACTGTACCAAACTGCTGTGTTGAAAATATTCATTCTTTCACAGGACATCTTGGAAAAACAATTAAAATACAGTTTTTGATTTAATTATTTTTAATCTGGTATCCAATGAGAATCCTTTTATTTGTGGCAATGGTGTTTCTGTAAAATTTATAATGGCTTTTTGTGGTTAAAGCCAAGCAAGTTTTCAAGTATGTTGATAGAGAATCGACAAGATTTTACATGCTACAGAAAGAAAAGTTTGGCTAATTTATAAAGGGAATTTGAGGCTTAAGGGTACTGGTTTTTGTCACTTGATAGAGCATTAAGGGGACAAATGTATACAACTTGATAATTGTGTGTTTACTTTAAATACCTTAAATAATAAACTCAGCATATAATACTTAAATTATCTGTTCCATTCCCTTGTAAAAGAGCATATGATAAAGACATGCATGACTACTACAGAAAATTATTTTCTAATGAAGAAAGATACAGTACTTGTATATCTATGCCACTGCTTTATCTAGTATAGGAATTAGATCACAACAACTAAGTCTCAGTAGCTAATGCATTTAATTTTACGTCACAAGCATATATGAGCCATAAGTACATATTAAAAATAAGGCTTTAAAGTTAGCAATTTTTTAGAACGGTAAACATGTACATCAATGAAAGGTCAAAGCAACTAATACTAAACCTTGTCCTGAAGCACTAACCAACTATACTGTATGAGTTACTGTACCATGCAAACACTTTCCTGAAACACACTGTATAATAGTTGGAGGTTATGAAACAAAAACAAATAGGAAACTACCAGGTAGAACATTTAACAAATAACAATTATTTATATTGTTGATCAGTGAAAAAGAAACTCCAAATGGTAAATTTCATTTATTGTTTATAACTATTTGCCTACTCTGCGACTTCATTTAAACCCACAATGAATTGTGCCCAATTTTTCACACTCCATTAGTCACTAAGTTTACTCACTAAGTTTACATAATCTGCCTAGTTTTTCAGCAAGCATTTCATTTATTTGTTTTTTAAAGCCATCAGTGAAATCCTTCACATTTACAAATTTACTGCCTTGTAGATGACAAAGTAAACAGACAAAAGAGTCAAGGAAAAGTACGGGTAAACAGGTTGTTGTGAAAACATGTTCTGCGATGGCTGCCTCCCACCAGAGATGTCTTTCCTCACATCTGACAGTATTCATTTTAATGCAATGTCTCAAATGAAATTAGAATTGCCTGATCAATATTAATGAAAATCAAGTAACAGTAGTGCTGTAAATCAAGTGATACCGTACGTCTCAAAGCACTTCAGAATGACCCCATGACAAAACTTCAAGAAACTAATGTTACAGTACATTTAAACAAGGATGGCAGAAATCTGATGTAAAGTCTCACAGTAATATTACCATTAGCAATAGCTCCTTCTTAAAGAGACTTTTTAAGGATAATCAAATTTACAGACATTTTAAGAGGAAGCTCTATAAATACAAAATAATGTAAAACTACTTCACTGAGATTTAGACAGTAGCAAAACCTGACTGTTTATGTGTATGCTTCAGATTAATGGATATAGCGAGATGAATTGTATCAATGCATTATGATAAATTATTCATATACTTTCTAAGAATATTAGATATTTCCCAAGCAAACCAATTTAGATATAAAAGTGCTCATTTTAAAAAGCTTTACAAATTTAGCAAATCAGTGGTTTAAATTCTCTGTGCAGTTTAATAAGTGTTATTTTATCACATTGTCATAGTAAAGATCTAATGTAAAACTTAACACTTCTAAGTACAAAACTATACAGTATATGATATAATGGTGTAACTAGAACACACCTTAAGATTTACTGGATTTTAACAATGTTTTCTTTCTTCTCATTTTCAGTACTTAAATAATTTTGGTTCGAAAGATTAAAAAGGTGAGATATTATTGCGTTTCTTTATTGCATCTGAATCTGGTAACTTATACTAATAGGTTTCTGTTAACTTTACTATTGACATACTTTGTAATTATAAAGATCAATAATAGAGAATACTTCCTTTTATGACAATAAATATGTCTCACTATGACTGTGGTTCCTTATTATTACCATAATCTAATTACAGTGGAGAGATTATTCCTGTAATTTAATGACTAAGGCACTTTTATAGTCCACAAATGAATCCAGCGTTGTTCTATACGCACTGCAATACCTGGGGCTGGTGTCCAAATTTTTCACATTCTTGTAATCTTCCTGTTTAATTTTCTTTCATGTGGTTTAATTTCTATAGCTAGTCATCTGTTTTTGTAAATTGAAAATTAATATACAGTATGTTGGTAGGGTATTTTACCTTAATCACAACATCACTTGACTAAGTTCTTACATTTATCTGTTTTCTGTTGTTTTTGAAACCTCCTTACTTATCCTATTTCATTTTTTAACATTTATTTTATTTATTTAATACCCCAACCTCATGGGAAACACAGAAGCAATTACAGAACAAAATAAACATGTACACATCTTTCAGAGATACACAATGTACAATATAGTGTTTTAGCCAAAAACAAAGCAGAAAGAAAGAACAAGGAAAAAAGGAGGAGAAAAATACTTGGACATGAAATATCACATCATCTGAGCTACTTTTAATAGCTATTATTAATAGTAGTGTCCCAAGTTACCATTACTGAGCTTTTATTAATAGCAGTGTCCCAAGTTACCAATGTAGTAATGGAGACTGGAGTGTAGCCAATTTGTTGATCTTTCTAAAAGCAGAATATCGTGTAAATATCTTAAGAAAACACAAGAAAAAAAAACAGCAGGCTCTTTTACATCCTCTTTTTACTATCCAACTCTTTAGAATATCCTTCTTCACTGCAGTCATCACTGATATAAAACTCAGCTGTCGGGCATTGTCGAAGAGTAGCAGAACTTCTGGGGTTGGGGAACAATACAGTAGTTCCTAATATGTAGCTTAATACAGAACCTACTGTACATATTTCCAAAACACATGACATACACCTCTGTGTATATACTGTAAGTCTCCATTACTCCAGAGTTACAGAGCTGACAGGTAGCATCTGTTGATAACCTCATCAGAATTCTCCTCAGTGAAGTAGCAGAGGACCGGTAAATAAATCTAACTGGCTAACATGGTATGTTTTTCGATAACATTACCCCAGTCTGATGTATGGCTGCAGGTAATCAACTGTCCATTCCAAACTGATAACTCAGGGAGGGGCATAATTTTGTGAGAAATAAATATATTTTGTATTGTTAAAACAAATCCAGTTTTGATACAGGTATTCTTAAACAGATCCATTAGTGGATGAAAGAGAAGGGTAATTCCAAGGGAAATCAGGATGAGATGAATTATTTTAAAACGTTAAGATTTTTTTCAGTTTTGCTCAGAAATTGTTTAGCTCCAAAGCTAGTGTTTATGAGACTTTTGTGCTACCTATTAACCGGAGCAAAATCATCCAGAATGCACTCAAGCTGAGACACAGAAAAGAGAGACACTGCATTGTTAGCTATACAAGCTCGT